TGTCCCCCAGACCCGCGTGTGTTCCCACTGTGTGTCCTTATCCTCTGTGTCCACATCGTGTGTGTCCTCTTCGTGTCCCCTCGCCCTGTGTGTGTCCCCACCGTGTTCCTCCGTCCGTGTGTCCCCCCGACCCATGTGTATCCTCCTCGTGTCCCCCAGACCCGTCTGTGTGCCTGTCCGTGTGCATCCCCCCGACCCGTGTGTGACCTCGTCGTGTATGTGTCTCCGACCCCACGTGTGTCCCCGGCCCACGTGTGTGTACTTGTCGTGTTCCCTCACCCTGTGTGTCCCCCCACCCGTGTGTGTCCCCACTGTGTGTCCTTATCGCATCTTCCCGACCCTTGTGTGTCGTCATCATGTGTCCCACCCGTGTGTCCCCACTGTGTGGGTCTTCATCACGTGTGTTCTCATTGTGTGTCCTTACCTGCATCCTCCCCACCATGTGTGTCCTCATCGTGTCTCCCTGACCCCACGTGTGTATCCTTGGTGTGTGTCCCCCTCCGTGTCCCGGGGGTGCTGCCCTGGGTGCCGCAGCCTTCCTGGACACCCCTGAGGCTGATGCTGTCCCCATCCCAGGCGTTCACAGAGCTGCAGGCCAAGGTGATGGACACGCAGCAGAAGGTGAAGCTGGCAGACCTGCAGATCGAGCAGCTCAGCAAGACCAAGAAGCACGCACACCTGACCGACACGGAGGTGATGATGCTGGTGGACGAGACCCGCATGTACGAGGGCGTGGGGCGGATGTGAGTACCCACGGCTCTCCGGGCCCTGCCTGCCTCCCTGGCCCTGTCCATGGAGAGACACAGCAGCTTTCTCTCAGCATGTTTGTTTCTTTTTTTCTCATGGTCTTTCAGTTTAAATTCCAGCAATCTGCCAGGGAATGCAGCAAGACTTACTGGTTTTTACTTCTTGGGGGTAGGTACCAGCTGCCTTGAAGAAGGGCTGTTATAAAACAGGCTCCTCAGGGCAGTGGTCACAGCACTAAGCCTTACAGAGTTCAGGAAGTGTTTGGATGATGCTCTCAGGCACATGGTGTGATTCTCTGGGGTGTCCTTTGCAGGGCCAAGAGCTGGACTTGGTGATCCTCATGGGTCCCTTCCAACTCTGAATATTCAGTGATTCTATGAAATGTATGCTGGCTAAGCTCCTGGCCCTGATGGTCTCCTCTGGCACCTCTGGGATGTTTCTAATTTCGACTAGCAGAGCAGCCTTCTAATGGCAAATGGCATTTGTGAGGAGGCTGTCACAGATCTGCCCAGTGTCAGTCATTTCTGATGTGGTTTGCATCAAACTCCTTGAAACCCCCCTGTGCACTGCTCATCTGCTCAGGGCTTTGCTTGCACAGTTGTTCTACAGAAGTGCCCTTTGCAGTGTTGTACCAGGGAATGGATCTAACAGGTATTGTGTGGACTTTTTCAAACCCTTGGAAGGGTATGAAGCTCATATGGGGTAGTCCCAGTGCACTCCTAAAGATGTGTTTCTGTGTGTTGGGTGGGTGTCCAAAGAAACACCTTAAACCAGACATGAGGTGTTGTGATTAATTTCCACGACGCACTTTGGTGGGACTTCAGCAGCCTCTGATAAAACACCACACAAAGTGGTTTCAAATCTGAAACGTGTGCTTGCTTGACAAATATCACACTGATTTCTGTGTTTCTGATTTGATAAACAGGATTTTTCTACTGCAATGATTTGTCTCTTAGGAGTTGGGTAACAGTGGTGACTGCTCAGCTCGAGATGTAGTTTATGAAATGCTGGATCTGCTCTGAGTGCTGCCAGGAGGGGTGATTGTATTGACCTCCTCCCCACCCTGTTTACGCCACCTTCCTCATGTCAAAGGGGATGATCACAGGGCCAAGCAGTGAGCCAGGTCAGACTGCAAGTGCCCTGATCCATCAGCCCACACAGTCTCCAGACTGGAGAGGTGACAGGACTGGGATGCCAGGAATGGTGTGTACTTTGCCTTTTGCTGAGAGTTGTCAGGTGAAGTTGTACCCAGGCTAATAGAGCTGTTCAGAGTGACAGAGACCCCTTCTGGTTCCCAGTAAATAAACTTTTCCATGTCTGTGTGTTGGATGTTGGGTTTGGTGGGGATGCTGGTGACTGGTACCCCAGAAAGAGATAGAATCTGGTCCCTTGCAAGAGGTGACTGGCTGACCCAGGCAGGCTGTAGAGGTAGCAAACATTTGTGTTTGGAGTAGTCATGAGATGTCTCAAAAGCTTTTTTTTCTGTTTGGGTTTGTCGCAGAACAGACAGATGGAGAGTATGAGATACTTCTGTAGTCAGCATGGGTTTTTTAAGCTTTTTTTAAATCCAGAAGTACAGAATACTTCTATATGGAGAATTCCCTCAAGATACCTTAGAAATGTGAGTGTATTAGTCTTTGCTATAAAGTAATCCTGGTTGTGAATCAGCTGTGGAGAGCAGATGGTGTTTGACACTGGCTGAAGTGTATTGTCCTGCTTTCTTCTGTCTCCTCTTTAAGAGTGAGAGACACTCTCCTTCTTTGTGTACTAAACCATTCACCCTTCCCCTGATGCAGGAGCTGTGGGAGTCAGAGTCTTCTGGGAAGTCCTCTTTTGCTTACCTTTCCATGGCCAGACAGGTGCTGGGGCACAGCTGGCAGCTCTGGCTCCTTGGGGATGGCAGAGGCGCCAGCAGGAAAATATTTGCATTATGATAGTATTTAAAAACTGAGCTCTTCGTGGGCTTTGTTGTACCAGTTGCTATGCAAATAGAGATTAAGAGAGTGCTCCTCTTCTGAACACTACTCATTCACTCTTGCTTTTCTTTTTTTCCTTCCTGCCTAAGCTTGACAGGGTGTTTGTGTGAGCTCTGCCTGTCCTGGCCACAGGGCTGAAGCTGCAGTGCCAGTTGGCAGTGGTTCTCTTTGGTATGATCTGTGTTACTCCCTAGTAGAGAGAACATGCACCAAGGGCATGAGGCACTTCCTGGAGCCTACTCCAACCCCTGGTACAGAATTTATTGCTGCAGTCTGAGCTTTTAGCAAAGAAGGCTAAAGCAGCCCTTGAGCAAGAGTTAAAATTCAAGGGCAGTTTGGCATCTTGTGTTCTACTAGAGACCCAAGGAGGTGGTCTCTGTGGTTCTTCTGGACATAGAAGCCGTGTTCTGTGAAGTGAAGTTACAGATGTTTTAATTTGTTGGCTTTGTGGGCTTGTGCAGATGTGGGAGTTTGGCCGCCAAAGGGATATTTATGATGTCTTAATTTCATTTGTATAGTCCAACATGCAAATATTGGAGCTGTAAAGGGTTCCAGTCACCCAGGAAGGGTGGAGATCTGCGTCAGTGTTAACTGGTTATCAGGGCTCTTCTGCTTGAATAGCTAATGTCTTTGGAATAAGTTTTGTGCTTCTATTCCTGTGCTCAACTTTTTTGTTTTATTTCCTTTTTTCCCCCTTCTCTACCCATTTAAGATGCTGGTTAGAGTCTGGCTTCTGATAGGGTTTCTCTGTGTTTTGCCCAACTTTGGTAGTTTGGGCTAGTACATACACTTCTGTAGGACAAGATACTGCAGGTCTTCGTGGAATTGGAAGGATTGAGGAACTGTGGTGACATCATGCATCCTGGGAGGAAGTCTGCCTTAGCTGGGTACTTCCTTCCGCACTACTTGGAAAGCTGTTGTGTGGTTTTTGTTCTCTGAACCCCTATCTGAGTCTCCTCCCTTCCCAAAAAGGCTTTCCCTAATGTGCTAGTGAATGTGAAAGTCCATTTGGTGTTCCTCAACTTGGTCTTTTTGGTTTTGTAGATACTGCAGTTTGTGTAATGTGCTGAGGCCTCGCTGGCCTCCACATGTGGGGCTCAATTGACTCTTGCTAAAGCTATTTTTGGCCTGACAGAAGAAATGTCAGTGCCACATAGTATGAGCTGATGAATTGCTGCGTACTGTACATATCCGTGAGGCTGGGATATCATCTGAGGGGTGGCCTCCTGCCAAATACATTTCAGTTCTGTTACTTCATACTCTTTTGAAAGGCCTGTTACGTAGCCTGAGACAGCTACCACTGTGCTGGACTTCTGCTCAGGCTATTTGTGAACTGATATCATCGTATTGCTTTGAGAGCTATGTTGAAAGTTTAAGCTTCAGAATTCTGTCTGAATATTTCAGGCCTTTCCCTTGACATTCTTCTAACTCATAACCTGAACAAGATCCTTATTTACAGAAGAAAAATGTCTGGCACTTGTGCAGGGCACAGTGAGGAGAGCACTGCAGTTTTTCATGCCATGCTGAAATAGACAGTCAGTTTTGGTTTGATATTGCTTTATCATCAGTTTACATGTACAGCAAATGGGAGAATACTCACAGGGGGGAAGTAGAAGAAAGTAAAAATCAAGTAAATGCTGTAGCACAGCTTTATGTTCAAGGTTTTCTGCAAGTATAATATATTATTGCAGCTGTCCCTATAAAATGACTTTGTGCCATTACAGTATTTTACAGGACAGCTGTAATAATATGATTCTGACTGGTTTTTTTAAGAGCTGTTCAAGTTTTTGGTTGCTGAACCCTATGCAAGTGAAACCTGAGAGAGGGTTAGATGTTCTTGATCATTCCTGGGATTTAAATGCATTCTTGGTTTTACTGTGATTCTTGGTTTTGTTTGAAAATGAGCCATCAGCAGTCACTGTGAGCTGTTTCCTGAACCCCTGAAGACAGCAGTCACTGCTGCACATCTCTCCATACAGCTGCAGCAGCTGTGTTTTCACCATTCGTGTGTGTGAGGTTGGTGTTTGATTCTGCCAGCACAGATCCCTGCAGGACCTGGCAGCTGTCTTGGGCCTCCTGCTCACATGGCAAAAAACTCACCAAGGGCTGAAGAGCAACCAAGGCTTAAACTTCATGGTGCAGTTACTAACTATAGGCTGGTCTGTGAAATCTGAGTGTCTTCTCCATCGCCTGTCTCTGTGGGTAAGGCTTGGTGTGGTGCTGGAGCCCAGCTGCTGAGGAGCTGACAGGTGCTGCAGTGCTGACACGAGTCCCAGGGACCAGCACGTTGCTATCAGCCCCTGCTCAGTATGTGCTTTATAAACTCAAAGCACCTCTATGTAGCTGTTGAAAAAGGGGAGGATTTATTTTCCACAGTAGGTCTGGTGTGTGCAGAAGTTCAATCAGGCACTGAACTGTAAAGACAATAAGATTTGTGCCCAACTGCTTGACCACCGACTCTGCTGTATGTTGAATGAGGCCAGGGATGCTGGGAGCTGCTGTGTGAGGAATCAAAGGCTACTTGGGCATAAGACAAGAGGTTTCCCATCACCAGCTGGTTTTTATTTCAGGTTTTTCTTGATTTTGAACTACTCGCTTTTGTTGCAGCCTGAGCAATGTTCTTCATAGTGTTAGATGTGGATGGGCCTGTAAAAGATCTCTCTAGAGCTGTCATGCAAAGCAATAATGAGAACGATGCACACAGGGAAAATGCAGTAGCAGCCTGTACAAGCTGCCTGTGACTTGGTCAGTGAAGTAAGGAGCAGCAGTTGGTTGTGATACCCTTCCTGGCTGATCAGGAGTACCAGGAGCATAGCTGGTCAGTGGGCTTCGTGGTTACTGCTGACAGTAGTGAGATACTGGGAGCTTGGACTCCTGGGTCCAGTTCCAGCTGAGAAAGGGAGCTTGTTCTCCTGGACACAGGTTCCTTTTCCAACTTGACATCTTCTGATTTCTCAAACACGTTCTCCCCCTGTCCTTCCCCCACTTAGTTCTTGATCTTATTCCTGGTACCCTGGGCC